CAGGACTGTCAGAAGTGCATCCGGTATTCCATGTGTCGATGTTGAAAAGATACCATGGGGATGGAAACTACATTATCCGTTGGGATTCAGTTTTGCTTGATGAGAATTTGTCTTATGAGGAGGAACCCGTTGCCATTATAGATAGAGAAATTCGCAAGTTGAGATCAAGGGAGATTGCATCCATCAAAGTTCAATGGAAGAATCGAACCGTTGAAGAAGCCACTTGGGAGAAGGAGGCAGATATGCGAGAAAGATACCCACATCTGTTTACAGATTCAGGTACTCCTTTTCGTCTTTGTTTTCCTTCTTGTGATCGTTCGGGGACGAACGATGGGTAAATTGTTATCTATTGTAACGAACTGTTTGGTCGTTTTTGAGAAACAAATTTTAATTCTGGAAAAACAGGCTGAGACGACAGAACCCACGACGGACCGTCATGGGCACGACGGATCGTCGCAGGGTCTTGTTTTAAAACACTTAGAAAATCTGAAATTGGGTACTGAAAATTGACTCTCTGAACTTCGTGACGGAATGGCAGGACGGACCGTCACAGGTGTGACGGACCGTCACAGACTCTTCAGAGAAATTGAGTCTCTGAACTCTGTGACGGGCAGCAGGACAGACCGTCGCAGGCGCGACGGGCCGTCACAGACTCCGAAATCCCAGTTTGGGTCGGATTTCTTTATACGTTTTAAGGGACGTTTTTGACCATTCCTGCTTTAATATAAAGTTAGTGGGTTAATGTTAATAAGTCTAATTACTTGGGGGTTAAAAGAGGTAACCTTAAGTTAATTAGTGAGTTATTATTGCCATCTTTTATTCTTAATTATATACTAATTAGGGTAAAAGAAAGAGGGTTTGAACGAAGAAAATAGAAAGAACAAGAGAGAGAGACAGAGAATCGAACGAGGAAGAGAGAAACAATGCTTGGAAAACTGCTTGCTCGATCACGAATCTTCGGTGGAGATAGGTTATGTTTTTTATGCTATTCATAGTAAACTCTTACTAGCGAATGATATGTATTGGTAGTATTGTAAACCCTTCTATATGCTT